CTCCGTTTTAATTTGAAAACGCAGTAGTGTGGATGGGGCCTAAAGCTGCACAGATCTAAAACGGAGGTAGGAACTTTCCTACACTCTATCTGGGAGTGCACATTAGTTTCACCATTCTGGGTTAAGGTTGTGGCCTGGATCAGCAGTCCCCCCGATCCCTGCTTTATGTTTGCGACATCTCAAGTACCAAATGTATCAAAGGGTGTATTTTCTGTTATAATGCTGTCTGATCACAGCTTCCAGAATTATCTTGAGACATTGGAAAACAGCAAAATCCCTGGACTTGAAGGAGTGGGTAAATGTAATGGTTGAGATTGCTTCCTATGAGTCTATGCTTAACAGGTTAAAAGGCAACGTGGAAGATACTCACATAAAGATCAACAGAGATCATTGAGAACAAGAAAAACCAAGAAACTTCATTGATTGTGGTGCACTTCCTGTCCCCTCCCACTGCAGACTGAATTTCCTGCTTCCTAGTCTTGTTTTATTTATTACAGGCTACATAATGCTTGTTTCTTTTTCTACCTTTATCATATTTTTATTTTTCTTATTTTTTATGTCTTGTGATGTCTATGACAGGACGAGGGATGTGTGTTGATGAAATGTACCACCAACCTTTTCTCTTTGTTTCTAAAAAAATTCAATTTAAAAAGACTGCACCACAATATTTTATAATAGTCTTTAAATAGCTGACTACTTGAAATAGACCAGCGAGGAACTGCGACGCTGCAGTTGTTGGCAGCACGGCATGCACGCAAAACTCTGCACAAGTGAATGGCAGGCGAGAGAGACAGAGAGAAAGGGGTCAACAATAAGCATCAGTTTAGATTTACTCATTTTGCAGACGCTTTTATCCAAAGCGACTTACATTTGAGGAAAAACATACAAGCATCAACAAAGCATCAAATACAGCACGAGATCTACAACTGACAATACATACTAGTAAGAGCAGCAAGCAGCTCAGCACCAAACTCCAGAATGACAAGGTTGGAAACTAGCTAGTGAACACAGTGGAACATTTGGCAGCTAAACTGCTGGTTGTGCAAATAGGCAACTGTTTGCTAACATGTTAGCAATATAAATTTAATGATGCCTTAAAATGTCAAATTGTGTCATGGATTTCAGTAGCATCTTTTTATTTGTTTAAATTCTGTTTACATCTGAATAGCAATCAATAAATCAAATGCCTCTCCCAGCTTTAAATAGATTTCAATAAACATTGTTACTATAACCCTTTTTTTCCCAAATTGTTGTTTATTGGGGTATCCTCATTTGTAGTTACCATAGCAACAACTACTGTTCCTGGGGTCCATATTAAATGCATATTATTATAAACGCTAGATGGAAATGTCTCTCAGTGTGTGTGAATGTGCTGGGAGGCAAAGTGTTGAGCAGCATCTTCATGTCTCATGGTTTGTTTAGACTGGAAATTCTCACAGACCAGTAAGCACCTCCCCAGATACCAGACTCCTTGCTGCAGTTTAAGGAATGAATCATCTGTTTCTGTGCTGTGTGCTGGTGTGTGTTAGCGCATGTGCCTAGTGTCTGAACTTGTGTGTGTGTGTGTGTGTATGTACTGGTGTGGGTGGGTGAGTATTTTTCTCTCACACTGTTGGTGGATTGTCACCCCTTGTCTGAATCACAGCTCAGTACTTGCTGTGTTGCAGGGGTTGCGACATAGAAAACCACACAACTATTAAATATGGACACTGACTCACTGGCACAGCAAATTAATAAAGTCTGGAGCACACACACACACAGCTGAGGGTGCTCAGGCATTGATGTCTAGAGCTGCAATTTCACTTCCAGTTGATGAAACATTTTTCGAGTGACAGCATTTCCAGGTTTTGGCTTTAAAGAAACTCTGGCAACAAGTCTGCTGTCATTCTGTGTATCTGTCTGTGGTAAGGTTAATTGCGCATGCACACTTTCCTCCTCATTGCCTTGCTGCACATTTGAGTAGTCACGTGCGCTGCCTGTAGTGCAACCAGCAGTCTGGAATTGTAGTAAGATGTTTCTCAGAGACAGAGCTGCTCTGGACAGTGACATCTTCGTTATAAAGATAAAGCCTAAGCACATACAAACAATCCTGCTTGATGTCTATGATGCATTTTCAGATTGTTCACTTCAAAATCATGAGTCCAAAAGGATTAGGGTTCATATTTTAAAGCTCCGTTTATAAGTTGTTTTTTGGCATCTTAGGGGGAGAACTCCACAACAAGCATAATGACACAATGTGGGCTTTAAAAGTAGATATGGCAAATGTGTAAGCAAACTATTTCCTACTTACATATGCAGCTGAGCAACATCGGCAATAATTAGGAGTTCTGTTTCAGGACCCCTGTTGAATGTAAGTCAAATAGTCACTCTCCTTTTGCTCTCCATCAACTTCTGAGGAAAATTCTTAGCTCCTGAGGGCTTGTGTCCACCACAGTGTTTTTGGCAGCTGAAAAAAAACAGCTGCTCTGCTGAAAATGCTTTGGATGTGCAGGGGTTATCTCGGCTTTGTTTTCTATGATACATAATATCCGTGGAGGTGATGTATTGCAAGCAAAATTGATACTCAATTTTACTGAATGTAAAAATGTCACCACAAAGTAGGGTAGGCCGTTTCGTTCAAGAACTGAGATTGAGACTCGGTGTGGTGTTTGTTCTGCTCCTCCTGCACTGGGATTGGACGGCTGGGTAAAAAGTGACAGTGAAGAGCATTGTGTTTCACCCGAATACTGCCAGGCTTTACTATGTTCACTAGTTGCTAATTTGGAGGGGTTAGCATACAGTGGGTTTATCAAAATGTTTGAAAAGCTGGAAGAAGTCAAATTGAGGGCCGCAAAACCTAAGCAATGAGCTCAAAGAGGCTAAAAAGCTGACCCAAGGGGAGTCACTACAAGATGCACTTATATATTACACACAGTCAGTTGTTCAAATAAAATATTGGTACAGTTACAGTTTTAAAGCCACTTAAAATTAGACATTTTCGATTTTCGATTCAAAAATATATCACATAAAAACTCTGCACATTAAGGTAATTTGGCCCCATAAAGCAGGGGCAGTTTGTTCATTTGGACGATCAGGCGAAGCACCATACTTTTTGCCTCTTTTTGCCAACAGTTTGCCTCTGAATGCCGTTTTCCAATCAGCGTCAAGTCGTGTTCCGTGGGGTCCCGCCCATGTGGGGAGATTTTAGTCTGGTTGAAAATCGCCCAGATCGCTCTCAGGTTTTAAAACGTACGTTCAGGCTGAACATTCAACCGTGGTGTTGTGTTGCGAGATGCAGTGACTTAACCGGTGGTGAGTAAGACATTGTATAGATAATGCATGTCATTTGTGAAGCTATAAGGAGAGGAAAAGTCTGCTAGCCACTAGGCTAATTTATGCTGTGTAAAATGCTATAGGCTAAGCTAATAACGAATAAAGAAAAGAAAAAAGCTGAATTTTATGCTAATGTTAAATGTGATTGTTATTAAGCCGTGTTTTATGTGTGTAGTGGAGTCAATTTAAAGATAACTTTACTGCACTTAACCAGTAACAATTATTTTATGTGTTGTTTATTTCTTTTATTGCCAGAAAGCACAGAAGACAGAGGAGGTAGTAAGAAGGGACCATCACTGGCATCTTGGTCAAAGGAGGATAAAAAGAAGAAGAAGGAGAAGTAGGAGAGCAACACAGAAAATAAACCCAAAAACAATAGAATAAACCTTTTACTTTTCCCCTTACATGCCTTGTTGTTTATGTGTCGATACAGAAGAAGAATGAGAGAACAGCACATACCCCATCATTACTGTGTGATTATAGAGCATGGGAGAACAGTGGATACTTTTAATAGAGCCCACACCCCTAATAATACTGTGTACTTACAGGAGAACAAGTGGAGAACTGTCTGCATAGTGTTTTAGTCTTGTGTAGTGTGGGTAAAGAATGAAAATAAATACTAGGTTCATCTGTACCCCATTAAACATTTAAGATTAGCTATGTTTGATCCATCTTCATATGCGGTATTTGTGACATTATGACATTACTGTAGCTTGTTACTTGAGACGGCTCCCTTAGCTGCAGTGCAAGATTAACTGTAAATAATTTCATTCATTGCACATTATCAGCCCCAGTGCCACTGCGCTTTATTCTTGTCACGATCCTGTCCTGAGTGCTGTGTTTTTGGGTTTTGATTCTGAGGGTTTGGTTTTGTATCTGTCATCTGTTCCGTTTAGTTCTGAGGTTATTCATTTATCAGCTTGGTATCTGTTATATAGTCTGTGGTCTTGTATCCAGTCTTCGTGATCTGTGTTGTTCTGTTTTCTTGTCTCCCTTAGCCACTTCTTCTTAGTTAGAATCCCTTTTACTGTGCTGTTAGTTTAGACTTAGTTTTAGTTTGCTTGCTACCTTTAGTGTGCATCCTGATGTTACTGTTTCCCTGGTTATTATCTGTCAGCTGGTGTTTAGTGGTGTTTTGGTATTTTCCTGAGTTTTCAGTTCTGTTCCAGTCTCATGTATTAGTTTCTGTACCATCATGCTTGAGTTCTGTCTGCTTGTCTATTTATGTTCTCTGCCAGTTTCATTAATTAATCTGATTTTGTTCATTCTGCTCTAGTCTCTGTGTAGCCTTTATTATTACTATTCATCCACATCTTTAAGTTACTTAGTATCTGTCCTGTCTGTGTTGTTTTGCCCATGTCTGCTCTGAGTTTTGTTTAACCTTAGCTTCAGTCGGTGTTCCTTGTTGGTGTTAGTTTATTTGTGATCTGTCTGCTTGTATTAGTTTATTTATATTACTCTGATGTTTAGTCTTGTGTTTCGTCTTTTCCCCCCTCAGTAATCTGCCGGCCTGCCTCTCTGTTCCCCTTTGCTGTCTCTGCCTGCCTGCCTGTCTCTCTGTTTTCCCTGCTGTCTCTCTGCCTGCCTCGTTAACCTTGATCCCTGTCACCCGTGTTGTTCCCGCCCTGCTCGTTAGTCCCTGTGTGTATATATACCTGGTGTTTCTGTGCAGTCTTTGTCTGGTCATTGTAGTGTGTTTATGCTCTGTCCCATGTTGCAGCATCCCGTCTCCCCTGCTTCTGTGGATTACCTTGTTTTTTGGACTCTGTTAATCAGTTGCTCTGCCAGTAAGTGTACTTGCCTTTTGTTTGTTGGACTAAATCACTTTTGAACTGTACCTCCTCTGCTTTGCGTCCTGTGTTTGAGTCCTCCAACCTGCCCTACCCTCTCCACACCACAAATTGTGACAATTCTGGATTTGTTGTACCTAAAATAAAAGGCTTGTCACAAGTGAATCAGATGATTGATTTTTTTTTTTTTTTTCATTGGTGCTAAAGTAGTTGCCTTTACACCTAAAGGTCTTTGAGGGTGAACTATGGAACAATCCGTGTCTTATAGCTGACTTGGTCACCTTTTAGCCATTTTTTCCTCTTGCCTATGCATGTGGTGGTGAACCACAATTTAGTGAGATTGTTTTGTTTGTCTCTTTCAGATTCAGTACACCCTCCCCAGCCAGCAGGCAATTCTTCCTGATTTTGACAGTGATGCTACGAAGGCAGAGTAAAGATTAATGTCTGACTCTTTCCAGCATGTTGCACCCATATATAAAGGACTTTCCTTTTCAGCTGATTAACTCTCTGTTCAGCCATCCAAAGGAGGCAGGTACGTGTTCCATCTGCAGCTTCTAATGAATGACACATTGTCAAATCATTTACGCCTGCCAGATCCACTGTGGTGACCTTGATTAAATCTTGTGCAACCAGAAGGAGGCTGTTGGAAAATAACCATGGAAACTTCTGTGCCCTAGTGCACATTGTTTTAGCAGCCTGCTAATTCACATAGGTTAGAGCCAAACTAAATATAGAAAAAGAGCAGTGTGATTAAGTCAACATTTCTATCCTGTACGTGTTGGTATGGTTGCTAGTAAACAACCTAAGACATCATCTCCTTTTTGATGAACAGTAATGCAGATAAACATTGCCTGAAAGCAAAGCAATAATGGTTGAGGCTTGTGTATTTCCTGGGTGTCCAGTCAACACATACTTCCCATTGATTTCTGATCACAACAGCTGTGGCTGACATGATTTAAACACTGACAGTTGTTACGTCCCTGGCTTGTCTAGGGGTGTGGGACGAACAAAGATAAATAACCGGGTGGAAAAACCAGGGAGGACTCAAAACACACATCAAGTTAGTGTGTATTTATTCTTAATCAAAAATAATGGTGGTTAATCAATGAAAAGCTATCATGCCCACACAAGAGATGATGCGACTTTTATATAAAGTAAATAACATGGGATGCAACACAATAGGCCACACAGTCTCCACGGCTCCCACCGCACTGGGGAAGCACACATGGAGGTCACCCGCCGCTCACCACACCGGCTTCCACTGATCGGGAATGCCGAGCGGACGACCGCGTCCACGGAGTCACCGACCTCACGGCGCAAGAAGGAGTTGCGAACCACCTGTTGCACTCTAAAACTGAAAGTAGATCAAATCGTTCAGTGTTTTTATAGCATATGTCTCAATCTGCCACATTGTTTCATTACTGTCCATTCTAATGCAAAAGTAGACAATACTTATTTTCTGCAGAAGCCGTCCAGTTCACCTGCTGTGGCGTCAGCGGGGAGTCGTAGACTGCTGGACGGTCTGGTCTGCAGGCAGGAGTTGCAGTGGATGTCATCAGCACAGACCCCTCTGCTTCCATCAGGAGAATCATGAGAAAGTCTTATCCTGACATCAAAGATCACTTTGACCCCTGACAACAGTGAGCTTTGTACTTTTAGATTCTTTTTCAATTTGTCTTAATTTGCATGTGTATTTATGACCCTCATTACATTTTGTCGACCTTTTCCCTACAGTTTAGGTCTGGGACAGCTCAAAGCTAGGAAAATTATTCATCAACATTTTTGTCTAAGAGTATTTTGGCACTAAAAGAGATTATTATATTCCCACAGTAAATGGGTGAAACATTAGCGGCAGTTGAGTAACATCCTGCCGGCCTGGTCATGTCAGAATTGTGTTTGACTTTTTTATTTTTTATTTTTTTTGGTTAACGTTCTTTCTCAAACAGAGAATGGGGGTGTGGTGAATAGTCGGACATAATCAATCACCATGACGACCAAAAACTAACCAGCTGGAGTGGTCACTAAGGACATGCTGTGTTAACATCACTACACTGTAAAGTTTAGTACACTTTACTGTCTGGCAGGAGTAGCTATTACTTACCCACGATAGAAACTAATGTGCGCCTATCAGCTGTTATCAATCATACAGTCGATGGTCCTGTCACACACTGCACACCATAACTTTTTATGGTGCGCTTACTTTACCGCGGGGGTCTATTACTTAGTTGAACTGTATCCAAAGACTTCTGATACCATTTCCTCCGCCGATGCTTTGGTAAAATGCATGTTTACTGTTCATGAGACGGTGGCAGGTGAGAGTACGACGCGTCTTCTGTTATCTGTCCTCCAACACCGCACGCACAGATGCCATAATGAAAATTAAGACCCTCTGTTGGCTAACTACAACTTAACTTAGCTAACAAAACTAGAAAGACAAACCGACAATCAGACACAGACATACCTACTGTAAATGACATGATAGATTGGTTAGCGATGTTTATCGGTTTGATGCTCTGACTTAACGAGGCGTGACAGCGCGCCTGCGCAAGCTTGGAGAATGACTTATGGAATTACTATAGTCATACGTCACAACCCCGTTTTAAAGGTTCAGTGTAAGTTCTTGCGACATCTAATGGTGAGGGTTGCGAATTGCACCTCCCCTCCCCAAGCGAGCAGTTTAGCTACAGTGCCTGAGACAGGACAAAGATGTCATCTATGAGATAAGAGTCCTAGTCAAGAAATTAGGTTTCTTTTAGATATAAAGAAATTATACAAATTATGTAAACAAATGTTTTTTTGAATATTGTTACTTTTTCATAAACAGCCACATGAAGAAAAGAAATTAAGAGCTACATGATGTCTCATACTCCTGTAATACATTATTTTGGCTCATCTGGACATACCAAAGTAAATGAAGAAATTCTCAAACGCTGTCACATCTAGTGCATCCAGTATGACCACTGACAGATAACAGGACAATGTAAGCCTCACTTTTTCTGCACCACAGCCCATTATAAACCACATAATACATAAAGTTTATGAAGGCATTGGCTGGTGAGGATCAAGGCTCCTCTCGCTTTGCTTAATTAGATAAGCAATCTGCAAATATTACCAAAATGTTTTTGTTAATTTTTTGAAAGACAACAGAAACACAAAGTAGTACTGACAGCCAAAATTTCAGTTTGTGGTAAAACGGTGCAACGTTTTAATGGGCACTTAGCATGTGAAAGTACAAATTACATATTTGTGTGCAAAGTGGGAAGCAATTTCCAATAACATTTTTTAATGCAAATTCGGAAAGTATTATTGGTCACTTGCTAGGCACATGATCTCGTTGTATATCACCATTAGCAGTACAAGAATTTAAACAAGCAGAAGAACGCCATGATGATGATGAAACCCGCTCTGTAGCGCTGTTTGTTCATTGTCAGCTACGGTAGAAAATGATGACAAAATACAGAAACAGGTGCCCACAGTTATGTAGATATAAATGTCTCATTCTAAGGTAATAACATAATGTTTCATTATGTAAGGCCTTTATACACCACTGAAAACAGTTATAGATCTTATATTGCATTTCTGTCAATAGATCCTCAAATATTACACACTGGACCTTTTATCAACTAAGCAACTTTGAGCACAAAATTAAGCTTCTTGTCAAAATATTTAGCGAACTATGTGGGTGATCAATATTGTAAGGAAATGACTCGGAAAAACATGAAATCAGAAATGTCAAAATACACCCAAGGGGGGTCTTTAAGTTGCACCTGCTGCACTATTCTGAACAGCATTGGATCTTTCAGCTGTTTATCGGCCTTGCGGATCAAACTGAGGTGGTGCCTGAATGAGTAGTCTTTGCCCTGATTTCAAACGAGTGTTGATGAGAGCTAAACACAAAGTTGGTAAAGCAGTTTTTAGCTTTTTATAGTCTTGGATGCTGGAACACTCCACCAGACTGCATCAGCATCATTTAAAAGCACAAAGCATTTCTTCTTCTCCCCACTTAATTAGCTTTGTTGTCGTGGTTGTGTTCAACTTCATTTGATTGTTTTAATTGTTTGAAGTACTCTATGCATGAATACTTTTACAGTTAAACTACTCTCTTTAAAGCACATTGTATTTCCCTTGGAATGAAATGTACCGCTGGCTTTCTGTCTTCAGGATACACTGTAGTGCAGAATTTGATAGAATTTTCAATCTTTTTTTAATAAATACCAAGGCTTCTCCCGAGCTTCAATGAAGGTGAATCTTTTGTGTTTAAGTGTTGAGGATTCAGTTAAGATCTCTGGGATTTGTCCTTTCAAGTCTTATCTGTGTGTAATTCTTTAAATGAATCATTTTAAGGGTTTCACCTGTTGCTATTTTCAACACAGCATTAGACATTTGCTTGTAAGATACAATGATATATTAAATACAAGATGGACAACATGTCAACATATTCTCACTCCCGACTTGTCACATTGACACTTGGTCAAGACCCTTTGGCGCCACTCTTTAACACCCTGTTGTCCAGTTAGACTTTCAAAACATCACCATGAAACTTTGCAATTTGGTTAGGCACAAGATGTACTTGGTTAAGGTTAGGAAAAAGATTATGGTTTGGGTTAAAATGACAACGTAGGTCAGTTAACACAGAAGTTTACTAATTTAGTCTGTATCATACTGTACTGTATAGAAGCAGATGTTTGGCATCTTTGCTTCAAAATGGACAAATGATTAACTGATTATGAGAATAGTTGCAGATTTGTTTTCAGTTATAATGGCAGATTGTCAGTCGAAAGAGAGAATAAAAGCTAAATTACTGCAATTTTTTACTCTTGGCTGAGTTGACTGTGTGCAATGGAAACAGACTTAGCAAACCATGTTTTTGACGCATGTGACTTCCACTGAAGCTTCCACCCACAATAATTACATGTGTTCTGCATGGTTTTATTCACTTGAGATTTGACTGGCATTCTTTTATTATGCTATCTTTGCTTTAATTATGCTATCTACCTTTTCTTTTGCAGTGGTTTAAAGCAGGAAATAAAAACAACTTTTGGTTATAATTGCTGAAAGTGTTACTATATCTTGACAGTAGTACATGAGACAGATAATCTGTGTAAAACATAAGGTTCCTCTGGCTCCTGCTCCTAATGCCATTTACAAGAATCCACCACGCCGAATCAAAACAACTAATCAGAGCCAGGAGAAGTCTCTAACGCAGCGTAAATCACTACTTGTGCACATGCTGCGCAGCCCACCTCCTCGTGCAGGCTCGCACTCAAGCTCAGTATTCAGCTTCAGATGTTTTGACAACCAGCTGCAGTGAAAGAACTGCCCATCCCTCCATAGCAAACAGCGTATAGTACAAAACACTAATACGTAGCAGCTCCACATGGAGCTTCGGGCTCATTATGTCTGATGTGGAATAACTTGAGGAGGGACAGTGGTGTACTAGCTAGGGATTTTTTTATTTATTTTTTTCTCCCCCTGACAAACAAGATGAGACGGCGACAATGTCCTTTAAACACTTACTTTATTAACAAAAAATGACGACACTAAAATGTAATTCATAAAATAAAAACTCTTGTCAGTATGAGACAACATTACAGGCCTCTCCCTCTAAATTTTTACTCGGTGTTCATTCAGCGGTATTTTATCTTCCTGTGCTTGCCATGCTGGGCAACTGAGGGCGACACCTGGTGCACAAGGAAAACGTGATGCATGCAACATGCTAGGGAGAAAGAGGCGCTTAGATATTTGGTCCCATTTCAAAGACAGTGAAGCGAACACAGAGTGCCTGATTACATCCGACGGTAAGCAATGTGGTTATAAGATTTCTGGAAAAAACAATACGAACTTGAAGCGGCATACCAAGGCTAACCAGCTGGGGGTTTTGAGGTAAGCTAATGTCTCGTTTGCAATAAAAACAAGAACAAAGATGACATTCAAATTTTACAAAACATTTTATCTAAATGTGATAAATGATAAATATCTCTCTTTTGATTAGAGTAGATTGACCAAAATGCTAATGAAAATTTATACTGAATATGACTAAAATACTTTTGATTTTCCTTTGACTTTTTCGGCAACTAAAACTTGTGTTAAAAAAAAGGTATACAGACTAAATATGACAAACTTAGGTCCTGTGTCAAATGTCCTTTGAAACAGGACTAAGATTGACTCTACATCTTTTAAATGGCTGACAAAATTAACACTAGTACTAGCTTTTCATCCCACTGTTAGACATTGTTGCAGCTGCCTCTGGAGCCAAGGGCGTCACTTTGTGTTGAAAAGGGGTGGGGACATAGGCGCTCAGACACTTAGTTCGCGAGACATCACGAAATGCGATATTAGTTTCACGAGAATGAGAAGATCCTTAAACAGTGTTTTAAAGAGATCCTCAATTCCGAGACGTAAGATCTTTTAAACACTTTGTTTCCTGCATTCTAGTGAACGTTTCTGCACCAATTTATGGTGGAAATGTGTTTATGTAAAAGGAAACAAATTCATGTAGCACGTTACATTTCAAAACATAAATATAATAGAATCTAAGTCAGTGCAGCTCTCCAGTCACTCTGTGTTGCTTTCAGATCTGTTTCTCCTGTAGATTAAATTCTCATTTAATATCATCCCTGCTGAAGCAACACACACGCAGGGAGGATTTAAGTCTCACAAGGAGAGAATGGAAAACTTGACCAAAAAACTGTCAAATTGTTACTGATTGCACGTTTTTGGGTAATTTCATAATCAGTAGTTTTTTGGGTTTTTTTAAGTTACTTTTTTGAACTATGCACATTTGTTTCTTCTATATTTTAATTGCATTTCATGTGTTCTTAATGTGCAAATAAACCTTTCTCAAAGTATTTTCATCTGTTATTTAACTGCAAGCTATATTTCAGAATGGAAAAGTGAGGACAAAATCAGCAATTTCAAAAATTGGTGGGGACATGTCCACCGTGTAAATGACACCAATTAGTGCCACCAACTGTTTATCTTAATGAACACCTAATATTCGCATAACGGTAGTGGACGAGAACCTAATGAGAAAATGTAAGTTGTCCGGTCCTAATGCATTTTCATTGCAGGGTTGAGACTACATGATACTTTTGTCTGTTTAAAATGGTCACTCTGTCAGATTAGGCTGTCAGAGTCAAACATTCTTGCTGTGACTTGACCAAAAACGTCACAGCAGGGTCTGAAATTGGCACCAGCCACTGGTCACCCACCAAATGTGAGCAAATTGTTGGCAAAATCAGGAGGCCACGGAAAACAAAGACGCATGTAGTAAGGTTAGTGTATTGTTGCACACGCCTGCGTCACACACAACATACTGTCAGCTCAGGGATTATCTATGGCGGCATTTCAAACACAATTTACCAGTGGAAGAGGCTCAGTCTGTCCTGAGTGACAGCCAATTAGATTATCAGCAGCGCAATGTAGGGACGGGCTTTTCTCTCATTAACTGATTCCATTAGTGTTTAAAACAATCCCTCACTGTGTTATGTCCCAGCCCAACAACCTGTCCTTTATGGTAGCTACAACCCTGTTTGATTGCAAGACCCAACTGAGCAACTGTTGGACTGCTCAGATCCTGTGGTCTCCTACTCATCACCTGGCCAGCGGAAGTATCACGGTCAAAGTTGTTAGAGATGGGGGGGGGGGCTTTCTAAGCTGAGGCTGCCCTCTGTCTTCCTTTCTCTGTGGCTATTACCTACCTATCTTCTTTTTACCTGCTTCTCTGTCTACACAACTGCCTGTCTTTCTGTCACCAGCCAACATCCCTGCTTTCAGCTGGGACTTCCCTGGTTGCTATGGTAACCCCACTCGGTATGCCCCACCTGAGCAGAGACAGACACAGACAGACATGCTGTGGGCAGGTGTGTATCATCATCATCATCATCCTCCTCCTCATCATCATCATTATCACCACCGTAAAGATATTACCATGGAGACCTGCATGTACCTGTCGCTGTGGGTATTGGGGAGCGCTATCTCGCCTGGCAGACGCCAGTGGGTGACTACGCACCTCCTCACCTATATAATATCATCGCCATCATGTATTATGAATCCCCCACCCCTTTTGTTCGCTGCTCCCCTGCTGTCGATCATAGTCGCAGGGTATTTTTAGGCGTGTATTTCTGTTTTCTCTCCGCTTACACATAACCTGACACAGCCAGCTTTGCATTGATTTTGGCATGCAAGATATCTCCTGTTCCCTCTGTCTTCTACACCCCCCACCCCCCCTTGCCGCCGCTTTTCAGCGTTCCCCGACCATTTCATTTCCTTAGATTTCCCTCCATCTGTTTTCCATCGGCCACCATCCCCATCCTTTCTATTCATTCTCTTCGCTTCTGGCACTTTGCGTTCTTTTCAGCACTCTTCCTTTTCTTCTATTCATCTCTGCCTGTCTCTCTCCTTCCTCTGCTTTCTTATTCCCTGTGCCATGTCACAGCTGCTGAGGCCTGCCATGAGCAGAATCTGTGGGTACCTGGATATGTGTGTGTGTGTGTGTGCACAATAATACCAGCAGTCCTCTGGGGTGGGAGGCACAAACAACATCCACAGGGCAACAAACAGTATTTTTCCACTGTTGCTACAACACATTACCATTCACATAAAGGTTGGATGTGGAGGGGGTGGGGGAAAGTAAGAAAACGTAAAGAAGAGAGAGACCCTTGGACTGTGTTAAAAATACATCTCTGTTCCAGATTCTTTTATGCAGCTCTTAATTTATCTGTTTCGCCTGTCTGTGCTTGGGTTGTTGTAGGCATCTGTAATGTGTTTCAAACTGTAAAATCCCACCCAGGATGTCCTCTGGATAGTTTCTTTGCTGCAACAAGAATACACCTTTGCTAGTATGATATATCCATGCATACTGGAGTTAAAAGGAAAAATCCATTCAGCAACTCTTTAACATCTTTTATGATTTCTGTGACTTCACTTTGGGCTATCCCACTGGACAAGTTTGAGCTATCTACATAATTTCTTCTGTTTTTGGTTAAGGTTCACCCTTTTTTTGGACGATGAAAACATATTCAAGGAGAAATCCATCAAAGAAGAAGCAGAAATTATCCACCAACAGCATTTAGTGCTGTACCAGCAAGTTTCCCTCCAGTTCTTGCCCTGGAGCCACCATCAGAGAAATCCTCCAGAAGGAAGTGTGGTTCTCCCCGTCATTGTTCCACTCTACTACCCAACTCCTTGCCATTACTCACTGCTGCGGAGGTCCCACTGCCCAGCGCCACAGAGGCGTAGCTGACCGGCTCCACAGAGAATCTGCTAACCAGCTACCCAGAGACTTTGTTGGTCATTGTTGCAGAGACTTTGCTTTCCAGGTCCCCAGAGAGTTCAGCCAATCTCCAGTCGAGCTGCCCTGTCACAGACCTCCAGAAGGGTCCTGCCTTTGCCGCCAGCCTCCAGAGGGTTTCCACGTCTGCCTGGTTCGTTTTGGACTTCTTGGGACTTTTGGCCTGTCGGACTGTACTCTTTTTGATGACTTAGAACGCCGGGAGCCATTCATTAACAGGGGGTAGTGTCATGGTTTTGGGTTGTGCATTATTTCCTTTTTATTTTGCTGAATTCTTCCTACTGTCAAATGTTTAAAGTACAATGTGCTTTAGTGCCTCAATCAGTCTCTATGGAATGATATTGCTATGCAAAAGTTTCTCCTCACAGCAAACATAAAAGCAGCCTATAAACAATGGGATGTCCTAGGGACTGCTTGGTCGGTAGGCAGTGCTTTTACAGCATTGATCTCTTATCTCCAACATTTACTGCTTCGGAACAGGTTCAGCATAAGTTATCATACCGGTAACAAGTTTAGCCCTCTGTGGACGAGGGGCCTGTGACCTACATTCTGTACATGCAACACTACAAGATCAGTCAACAGGGTTTGAATACAGGACTGATCATTTAAGAACACTGCCCGGCTCCAAGGGAGGACAAAGAGGAGAGAACACAGGACACTTTAACAAAAAGAAAATTTAACAGATGAGATATAAAGTATGTAAATCAGTAACATCAGTAGTGTGTTGAGTGTCTGCATGTGTGTACAGTAAAGCATAGTGAACAAAGAAACTAAACACAGGGAAAACCTAACCCAAACAACAAGCCATACGCCCAGAGAGACACCGAGTGACTGAATCCACCAGCTTATACAGCTAGAAAGCAGCAGGTGAGAATCAGTGATGCTTCACTCTTAAAAAAGGAAAGGACAGCACAAACAAGAGTCAAAGGGGGCTGTCACACCACCGACCATAACAAGATTTTCCTCTCTAGTCTGAAAGATTTTAGTCACCTTTCTTTTATTAGGCGTAGTAACCAGGTAGTTGAGCTCTGACATAAAACAAATAGCCTGATCACTCCGAATTATTTTGGGGACCCCAAACACAGAGATGAACTGACATTTTGCCTTCCTTGACAGGTCAAGTTTACATTGCTCTCTTAAATTTGTCTTGCTCCAGTTTTTTTGTTTCATTACTTCAACATCTAAGTCTCTGCTGTGTACATTTTTCATGCTGCATTATCAATAGCTCTTTTTTTCTGCTCCAATGTTAAATTTGTCATTGGAGACATAGATACACCAGATATTTGCACAGTTTTTCACTTACCAAAATCCCATTTTCCAAATAATTAGCTTTCAGAATGCTCTTCGCCGTTTCTTTCAGACGATTTACCCCATTTCTGATGTTAAAATGGTCAGCAATATTTAACAACTGTTCCAACAATGTTTCACAGGGAGCCTGAATGGAAAAAATCAATCACAGAAGCCATGCTACCCTACTTTAGTTTGGAATTTACCAAAATATCTATTTCCTAGAGCCTATCAAAAACGTTTTTGCCCCATTCCAAACTAATCACATGTGCCCACTAGGGCTGCACGATTAATCTAATCGCAACTGCAATAACAATGTCATCCTGTGCAATTACATAACCGCAAAGTTAGGAAGCAAGGTTATGATTTAAAAACAAAAACAGTAACAGTACAGTATTTTAATACTCTCTTGTTAAAGTAAAATCTGTCTGGCACAATATGGTATCCAGGTCATTATACTCTATACCAGGCTGCTGGGCAGGACAGGTTTAAAAAAAATAATAAAATAAAACAGTGTGCTGTGTGTGAGACACTCGTCTCTGTGTGCGCTGCAGTCTGCTCGTTATCCTCGCCCACACCGAGCTCTCGCATGTGCCCCAAAAAACAGATACAAGCGAGCCAGAAAATTGATTTATGAGCAGTGTGCGAGTAACGTTAAAAACAACAACGTATGATAAACCCCCTCCCCAGCCTGCCGTTAACTTAGTTGGACTGGAGCACCGGGAGAAATGCTGGTGGGCCGGTCGCTCTGTGACAGAGACAGAGATGCGTCGTCGGCAGCTGAATTAAACAGGGAGAATATAAGGAAGGTATGGGTTTGGCTAGCTGGCTATACGATGTTGTTGTTCAACTTTTAATGAAGCCGATGTGCTTGTCAGTGTCACTTTTCGTCAACCAACCAATCACAGGCTGGATGGGGCGGGACATTAAAAAAAGTTTGACTGCCAGAGCAAACTTTCAAATGTTGAACAAGATGATTATTGACAAGTTAGGTCAGGTCTGTCTTGCAAAAGAGGTTTAAATCTCAATGAGACTCAAAAATTAGATGATACAAATTAGAGACCAATGTAGCACAGGGATCCTTGATTTAATGAATAAAAACAACCCACAGAAATGACACAGCTGTAAGTGGATTTAATATTCAACTAGTGGTAAAATAGTACAGTATACTATCAACTGAAAATTTATATTATAGACTGGTTTCTTGTATACAAACCAAACAATACTGGATGCGCACGCAGCCAGGGGGCAAATATGCTTTGGTAGCCGGTCAGAACACTGTAGTCAACCAAAGAGATCAACGTAGATTACGCATTGTTTGGAAAATCTTGTTGAGTTAATAATAAACTGCTATTAAAGAGTTGGATCTGTTTGTTTCATTTTGAATATTAATATAGCATGTGCGACCGCACTGCAGGTTAGCGAAGCCGGACGTAATGTTGTTTAAGTCAGCTGCTAGCCAAAAGGCTAATGGAAGAACAAGGGAGAGAGGCGTTCTTTCCAGAGCTGCCATTTGGCCTAGTTGTGTCACACGCAAAGATGCAAAGAACATAGTCTGCCGTTGTAAACTTTGTGTGACCAGCAAAAAGTTTACAACCGTGAACAATTTTGTATTGAAGCATCTGCTAAAGCAGCACTGCAATGTGAAACTGTAGCAAGAAACTCCGGCTGCTACTGCCAGTGATGCATCCACTTGGCAGGCAAGAGTGTCGTTAATCAACATTTTGTGTTTCGTAAAACCACTGAATACTTCTCTTATTAATGCATGTGCACAACAGTAACGTTAGTTCTGAAGTCGAAACACTTGCTTGATTTATTTATTTATTTATTTTTTTTCTCAAACAGTGCTGTTAAAAAAATAATGCTTCGTAAAAATCAAACTCATTGATGCTGTTGTGAATACGGGACCTGCTTTGTTTTTTTTTTTATTAGTTTTAAATCGCCTATATCCATAGCCTATATGATACAGCATCCCCCGGTCTGAGAGGCTCGAGTGTTGTCTGTTCGGCTGGTTGTTGACGACTCAGGTTTATTATTGTTCCAGTAAAGTGGATTTATTTCTAAAATGCGCTGCTAAACAGGTTTCCTGTCATTTTTAAGGACGGGGTGCTGTGGTTGAAAGTAATTGTAATGTAAAAAGTAACTCATGACAATTTCTGAGAAATTTGCCCAACACTGCAGCTAGATATGCCGTATAGTAGAAGAAGATATACTTTATTAATCCCGCAAGGGGAAATTCAACATTTTTTCACTCTGTTAATATTGTTAGTATTATTCACACACAGGTCTGAAACACATGCACAAACAGGACCCATATCAACAACACATGGAGAGATGTGGGGGGCTGCCACTCAGTGGGGCGCCCTGAGCAGTTAAGGGTTCAGGGCTTTGCTTAAGGCCACCTTCAGGAGTGCCCAGGAGGTGAACTGGCACTTCTCCAGCTTCCAGTCTACACTCCGCAACTGAGCTACTGCCACCCCCAGTGTCAGTATAAACTAATATGTCGCAAAGACAGAGACGTTTCTGATGTTGCACAGAAACCCGTCTATACTTCTAATTTATACTAGATCCTCCCTTACAATGTGGCAAAATCAGTATTTTTGGACTGGTGGCCAAAAAACATTTGTTTTTCTTCTTCTGTATTTCTTTTGAGAAATACACATTCAAAAATGTCAGTATTTTGTGTATTTTCCTTGCTAATCAAGCAAGTAGACTCACAGCACCATTTGTTTCATCATATCGCAATATTGTCCACAATAAACGCAAAATGACCTTTTCTCCAAATTGTGCAGCCCTATTGCCCACAATATACTGTAATCTCTCCTCCCTAAACTAACTAATGCACCTAACTGATTAAGTACAGTCAATCTTAGACTTTGTGCAGTTACTGGGGTATTTATTCATTGTAAACCAGAACGTATTGCTAAGCCTACCAGGAGAAATTAAAACAAAGCCACAAAATAATTGGGAAAACACATACCAAACAATTTACCCAAAAAAACAGACTACCAAACCAGCATGCGTGACCTCTCCAACCTTTTTATTGTTGTGCAAGTTAACCAGTTCAAAGGGAGGACAAAGAGGAGAGATCAGCACATGACTTTTAACTAAAGATGCATTTAACAAATTTAACCAATCGGGATATGAAATAGGTAAATCAGTAACATCAGTAGTGTGTTGAGTGTCTGCATGTGTGTACAGTGAAGTGTCGTGAACAAAGAAACTAAACACAAGTCCGCCAGCTTTTATAGCCAGGGAGCAGCAGATCATACTCAGTGATGCCCTGCTTCACTCCTAAAAAGGAAAGGACAGCACGAACAGGAAGTCAAGTGAGCTGTTAAAGCGCTCAGAGCCTACCTTTCAAAGAAAGACTGGTCAGTGCCATAAAAGAAAGGCCTGGCTATAGCCTTCCACAGACTTTATAGACATTAACAAGAGTGTTTGAGATTAGCTCCTCCACCAAGGTCTCATATATTAGAGTTTGGCAAGTCAGTTGCTAAATCAAATCTTTGTTAACCAAATGTGTTAACTTTAACCTGAATGGATTTTAAGAGGAATGGGTTTAGCATTTTTGAGACACTCTGTTCCACTGTGAGACAAGATGAGACACGACAAGATGAATTAATCCTAAAAAGTAAGTGCCCCCAATTTATCTTGAAACAAGACTTAAGCTACTGAGAAGTTTAACTTTAATTGTTGTGGTTCTAATTCATATTTATGAATTTAAGTAATCTCTTTGATGTCGTATTGAAACATTACACACATCCCTGATCACAATACCAATAATAATTATTATGCATCAAGCAACAGCCTAAACCAAAAATAATTAATAATATTAGCTAATCATATAAAATAGAGGATTACCTGTCACAGCAACAAGTTGCGGTGTATTGCAAAGTTACCAATAATGGTTGCATACAGTTTGAGAAGCAATAGTTTGTGACATTGTATCCCTGACAGCACACACGCCAAACAGAATCTGAGCTCATCTGCATGAAATGGATGAAACCTGATACAAAGTGACACTGCGCTCACCAGCCATCCTGCTGTTTCCCTCTGCAGGTCGATGCAGAGACGAGACGAGAAACTCCTGGATGTGAATTTAAA